TGACGAAATAAATAGGACTTAGAAGTAAAGATAAAATACTTATGTTTTTAAATTACACAGTGCATACACACTTCAGAATTCTACCAGCTATCCTTCTCAGAGCATGGAAACACATTACTAGAATGAAACTAAATTGTAAGAAAAAGGAATAAAATTTTCACTGAGTGAAATTAGAGAGCAAATTGTACCATTTGCTTTATTGATGAGTAAGAATTTCACTTTGTAGTCAGAAAAAGTAATATTTTTGTCGGAGAAGGGTGAAGTGCTACTCTTGGATAGCATCGCTATGTGTATACTTAAGCTCAGCACAGAAGTGATGTCTACCTTTGCATGTGGAAAAACACTGTTGGGGGATAATTCACTGTCCCTTTATAGGCAAACGAAATACAATATGGCTCCAAAAAAATCCATCACCGGTTTTTCAAACCTCTTAGTCTATTTAGATGCTAATTCAATAAGCTCCTAATACTACTGACATTTTAAAATATGTTGATCATAGTCACTCAAATTTCTAAGACAGTGAACCCAAAGAGTTTGGTGTCAAAAACTGTGTAGAACCTTAAAAAAATCAGATTCTTTCAGGGCTGCATTTAAGAGTGTCTTTTTAACTGTTAGTAACACATATAGTGATACAATTAATATATCACATATAGTGATACAATTAGGGGGACGGCCAATAAGGCTTACATCCTACTGGCAGTCTGGTGTGGTCCACCCAACCAGAAAGAATTCATTCTATAAATTCATTCTATAAACAGCTATTCATTCTATAAACAGCTAGAGAATGTTTCTGGATCATCAGCCCTAGTTCTTGTTGGTGATTTCAACTTGCTGGACATTTGTTGGGAACTCAATACAGCTGAAAAGAAGCGGTCCAGGAAATTTTTAGAGTTTGTGGGGGACAGCTTTTTGTTGCAGCTGGTGGGTGACCCCACCAGGGGAGGGTCTATGTTAGATTTGTTATCTGCCAATAGAGATGGGTTGGTGGGAGATGTGGTGTTGGAGGCTGCTTGGCGCACAGTGATCATGAAATTACAAAATTCTCAGTATTTGGTGAAGTCAAGAAGAACATTAATAAGATTTTTCATTATATTTTCAGAGGCAGACTTTGGCCTGTTCAGAAGACTTATTCAGAGAGTTCCTTGGGAAGTAGTCCTTAAAAATAAAGAAGTTCAGGAAGGGTGGACATGCCTCAAAATGGAGATCTTGAAGGCACAGGAACAGACTGTCCCTGTGTGCTGAAAGAGGAGTCAGTGAGGCAAACATCCAGCCTGGGTGGGCAAGGAGGTTCTGCTGGAGCTCAGGAATAAAAAAAGGATGTATTATCTTTGGAAGGAGAGTCAGGTTTCTCAGGTAGTATTTAAGAGGGCTGCTAGAGTATGTAGAAAATAATTAGGGAGGCTAAAGCTCAGTTTGAACTTAAAATGGCAGCTTTTGTCTGCAAGGATAATAAAAACTCTTTTTACAAATATATTGATGGTAAAAGGAAGAGTAAGACTAATCTTTGGTTTTTAGTAGATGCAGAAGAGAGCTTTGTTACTGCAGATGAGGATAAGGCAGAGGTACTTAACGCCTTCTTTGTCTCGGTTTTTAGTGAGAAGACTTTCAGGACAACTGTCCTCTTGGGTTGCTCAGTGATATCAGGGAGTAGAATGCTCCCCTCATTATCCAAGAGCAGGCAGTCGGAGAACTGCTGAGATGCTTAGATATTCATAAATCCCTGGGACCAGGTGGGATCCATCCCAGGATGATGAGGGAGCTGGCAGATGAGCTTGTGAAGCCCCTCTCCATCATTTGCCAGCAGTCCTGGCTCACTGGTGAGGTTCCAGATACCTGGAAGGTGGCCAGTGTGACACCCATTCACACAAAGGGTGGGAAGGAGGACCCTGGTAATTATAGGCCAGTCAGCCTGACCTCAGTACCAGGTAAAGTCACAGCACAGTTTATATTATTGTCATCACACAGCACTTACAGGGTGGGCAGGGTAGCAGACCCAGCCAGCATGGGTTTAGGAGGGGAAGGTCGTTTTTGACCAACCTGGTCCCTTTTTGTGACCAAGTGACCCTCCTGGTGGATGCAGGACAGGCTGTGGATGTTGTGTACCTGGATTTCACCAAGCCTTTGGCACTGTCTCCCACAGCACACTCCTGGAAAAGCTGGCAGCCCATGGCTTGGACAGGAGCACTCTGTGCTGGGTTCAGAACTGGCTGGGTGGCCGGGCCCAGAGGGTGGAGGTGAACGGTGCCACATCCAGCTGGGGCCAGTCAGCAGTGGTGTCCTCAGGGGTCTGTGCTGGGCCAGTTCTGTTCAATATCTTCATTGACATGGATGAGGGGATTGAGTCCTTCACTAGTAAGTTTGCAGACAACACTAAGCTGGGATCATGTGTTGATCTGTTGGAGGGTAGGAGGGCTCTGCAGAGAGACCTGGAATGGTTGGATGGATGGGCGGAGTCCAATGGGATGGAGATTAATAAATCCAAGTGCTGAGTCCTGCATTTTGGCCACAATAACCCCCTGCAGTGTTGCAGGCTGGGGACGGTGTGGCTGGAAAGGGACCTGGGGGCACTGGTGACAGCCGACTGGACATGAGCCAGCAGTGTGCCCAGGTGGCCAAGAAGGCCAAAGGGATCCTGGCTTGTGTCAGGAACAGTGTGGCCAGCAGGAGCAGGGAGGTCATTCTCCCCTGTACTCAGCACTGGTGAGGCCACACCTCGAGTGCTGTGTCCAGTTCTGGGCCCTCAGTTTGGGAAGGACCTTGAGATGCTTGAGCGCATCCAGAGGAGGCAACGAGGCTGGAGAGGGGCTGGGAACACAAACCCTGTGAGGAACGGCTGAGGGAGCTGGGGGTGTTTAGCCTGGAGAAAAGGAGACTCAGGGGTGACCTTATCACTCTGCAACTCCCTGAAAGGTGTCTGTAGTCAGGGGGGGTTGGTCTCTTTCTCCAGGGAACAACTGACAGAACCGGAGGACAGTGTCTTAAGCTGCACCAAGGGAAATATAACTTGGATATTAGGAATAAGTTTTTTACGGAAAGGATGATAAAGTTCTGGAATAGCCTGCCAGGGAGGTGGTGGAGTCACCATCCCTGGATGTTTAAGAAAAGACTGGATGTGGCACTCAGTGCCATGGTTTAGTTAGGGCATGGTTGGACTTAATGATCTTTAAGGTCTCTTCGAACTTAGTCATTCTGTGAATTTTGTGAATTCAAATGAATCATATCCAAAGCATAAGTACAATTTTCATGGCCTTCATCATGATCCCAAGCATTTAATTTCTTCCTCATTCCTCTAAACGGTCCCAGTTCATCTCCTTGTGAGGGAAGATTTGCCAAGCACTCTGTCTCAGTTGCTGTAGGTAAAGGGTGAGCCAGAACCTGAGCCATCTCACTCCTCTACTCTCCACAGCTAGGTTATGCAGGACTTTATAATTTTTTTTGTTATAAAAGTTAATTTAGCCTATGGTATTGGTTATTAGGATAAAGCACTTGTTTTTCTGAGGTATTTGTTTTCCCAAAAACAAATGCTTCTCTATCAGGCAGACAGGCAAATTATTTTTTTTTCAATAATCTCGATAAAGAAGCAAATTCATTTTCAAAATATTGAATAAATAAATTGTATAAAATATGAAAAGATGCATGAGAATGAAGCAATTTTCAGACTGGCCAAATTATCAGTCTATGGGATAAGTCCTGGTAAAATCACATTAACTAATTTCACACATGCTCATTGTCAGGTGATACCTACTCTAACAGATTACAGGTCATACCCTGGGAAGAGTCAGCAGAGCTGTTGGCTTGATGCTGTAGTGGCAGTATGGACAGTACGGATCTCCTGACTTGTGCCATGTTGCTGGTCTACTCGTGGAAAATGAGCATGATGTTGGTGAACTGCCCCACCTTGGCTTATCTGTGTCATCTTTTTTGGGTTTTTTTTCATTGTTTACCACTAGCTGTCATTGGGAGCTGCCAGTTCTTACCAGGATTAAACAAAGGGCATAAACCTCAAGCCATAGTTGTGTATCCATATTGGTGAAACAATTTTGAGGTCTTTAATGTTACGGAAAGGGAAGGAAAAACAATAGGTGATTATTCATGACTTCTCAGAATGAGATGACCTTTCTTACAGCCACTACCATAGTGAGCATAAACAGGTACCATCTGTTACCTATTTTACATTCATTTTGCTGCATAGATCATTCAACCATAGAGGTAAAAATACTAGAGCCTGAAGTTTCCCTAGTGGTGAAGGATGAAGGAGTGTGGTGAACGCTTCTGTAATTCCACCCTGGAACAGAAAATAAACAGCAAATCTGGAAACATGTAGTTTTGTTTATGAATAAGATTAGTTATGTTTATGAATAAGATATCATTAAAATTTTAAATATGCCTGAATTGCTTACTTATTTATGATTCAAGGAAATGAAAAGCAAGTTTCTTTATGTTTGGTCCATGGATGAAACACAGCTAGTTTCCTGAGCAACACTAGTGCCATGGGTTGGTCTGGCATCAAAATGAAAGAAAAGAAACATTTTTTTTCTTCTGAAAAGCTTTTTCAGGAACCTTTGGAGTTTATTTAGTAAACAGAACAGGGAAATTTTTGAACACATGTTCTTACTAATAAAGGCAAAAATATTTATTCCACTTCATCCCAGTTTTTTTGAGATTTATGATATTTATTCATTTTCTATTAATTGAGAACCCCTCACTTTCTGAAATGAGTAAAAAAAAAAAGGGCGGATAGCTTGTTTTCTCTGAAGAAAAAGCCCTGGATTTTAAAAGCTTGTGGTTAAATTCCTCATGGAAATTTCAGATGCATAAATACAAAATGGTTAATGTAATATGATCTAATACAGTGTGTCCTGAAGTAATAATTTTCTTTCAAAAGGAAATTATTTCCAGTGCAAACTATGGGATTTTAGTTTCTAATTACCATAAATAAAACAATTATGTAGTCCCTAGCTGAAAGTTTCCTTTCCTTTTTTTCTCTTTGTCTTTTGAAGTCTATTGATCCTGGCCAGCAGTTCACATGGGAACACTCTAACCTGGAAGTAAACAAACCAAAGAATAGATATGCGAATGTAATTGCATACGACCATTCTCGTGTTCTACTCTCAGCAATAGAAGGTAAGGAGACCATTAAAATTAAATTATTTATATCTTAAGATCTAGAATGATTTTACCAATCAATATCTTTATGTAGTTATATAAAAAGTGTTAATTAAAGCACTTCCAGCAAATTCCTGTAATGACAATCCTCTTCTGATGCTTGTCAGCAATGTGTTATGAACTTGCATTAAAAAGTACAATCATGTGTAAAACTGAGTGCATTAGGTCCCTGTGCACATGCCAGTGAGTTATCTGAAGTGAATTAATATTGCTGCTTACTTATACTAACACTACAAAGCAAACGTAGCAGTAAACAAACATATTTGAATTGAGGCATTTGTTGATCAGTGAAATTATCAAGATATCTGCTCATTGAATTTTACTTGCAAAACCTTAATGTGGGGAAAAAAATCAGTTCAACCTCATGTTCTCTGGGGAAATTTTAAAAACTCTCTCTTAGAACTTTAATTTTAATTTCCAATGTAAATATCAAACTAGAGTTTTTAAACAAATGCCCACTTGCAGGCATTTTTGAGAGTATCTCACTGACTAAACATTGACAGTGTGATTTAGTGAGAGCTTTTCGTTATATCTTTCTTTGCTACAAAGCTTCCCAAAATCATCAGCACTTTAAAGTGCTATCTCAACCAAACTGTTACAGGTAGCCAGTCCTAGGTGTTGTGTCTGTTTTACCAAGCATCAGGACGCACTGGTTTTCACTCAGAGGATTCTTTTTTATTTTTTTCCAATTCTGCCTTACTATTAACTTACTTCCCAGGTTGAAGACGGATTTTCAGTTTATTCTATGTTGTTGACAGTCAGGTATTAATGATGGCTGTAATAAAAAAAATTATATATTTAAATGACACAATTTAAATGAAGGTAAGAGTTGTCTTTAGTTAGCTCCAACAGGACTTGCATACGATACATAAGATAGAGGGATCTGTATTCAAGGTCATAGTTATTTTAGTCATAACATGGTACAAGTTAAACTGCAAGAATTTTAATTTATGGTTATAAACAGCTGCTTATCTTTAGCTACTCCAGACCTGAAGACACTGGATTTATAGGTGTAATCCACTTTAATATTAGCTTCTTGGTGAAGAAAATGGCAATCCCACTGACTGAAGTTTAGATCTTTCCTCGCTCATTGCAGCTGCATACCATAGGCTTTGATAATACAGATAAGTGCTTCTCAAATGTATTAGCAAATTTTAATGATTACCTTGAAGAATTTGCATATGATAATCTGCTTATATTTTTCCACCTTTGAGGTTCATATAGCAGTTCTGACAAGATTTTTTTTTTTTTGCAACATAGAATTTTTCATATTGCCTTGTAAAAGAATATGGCTGTGTAGAAACCTGGCTCTACCTGTGTCAACACTAAAGAGAGGCTATTCTAGCTAGCGCTATATGTGATGCAACTCAATAAATATATCCTTTCCTGTCTCTCTGGTCCAGACAAGAGGTCAAAGTATATGGTCTGGATAGGTCAGGAACAGCAGCTGGACAGGGTTTCCGAAGGGTATTCTTCAGAACAAAATGCTTAACTGGGAGATAACTTTTTGTCTAACTGGCAAAAAGAAGACTGTTTTTTTCCAGGGATTTTGCTTGGAAAAAGAGTTGTGTAAAGGAGGAGAGAATGAGAGAAAAACAAAATCAAATGCAATCAAATTTATTTGCTAATTTATATATTAGACAACTGGACTGCCATATTTCCCTGAAATTTGGTTCCCTTTAAAAAAATCAATATATTCAGAGAATGAGAAGAAAATTTAAGAGGCAAAGCAGAAAATGTTAGTGAAAGTAATTGAAAGTATGAAATTACACAGTTCATTGGACTATGTTTTTACATAAGTGATAGTAAAAATGCAGAAAAAATATTTACATTGTACCTGGAAAGGATTGAGTATTTTAAGGAGCAGGGACAAAAATATAAACAAACTGTAATGTTTGTTTCCCTTTTTTAAGTAAGAAATACCATAATGTGGCTAAAATTTCTAAATCTTTCATAGTCACTGAGCCTACAGAGAGAAAAGTATTATAACCATTTGTAATATTAACGTTGGATGTTAGACCACAAATGGAATATTCATCCATTAGGTAATTTGCAGGATTTTAGTTTTTTCCAAGTCTTTAGATTATGCTAAAAAAGCATATGGTGAATAAATCAAATATTAAATGCCTTTTTACAAGATGATATTTAGTCTTGAAAATGGAAATAATTTAATATATCATTATGCCCTTAAAAATTCTTATTCCTGGGATTTTACATGATTGAGTAGATGAAATTTTGTGTATTTACCTTCAAAAGTTTAATAAATTGGTTTTAGCATTTAGTAAAAAGTACTTGTCTTTCAGATTTTAAGTAGATATTTCAGATATGAAAATACACAATCTGGCCAGCACTTTATTCAGTTGATACCTGTGTTTCTTTTCATGTTACCAGGGAAATCAGTATTTGGAATATTACTTAAAAATGAATTCTCCTTTATCTATGATACTATAGAGCTTAATCAGGACCTGAATTTGGGCTACAGCATATTTTGTTACAACTATTTGGAGAATATTTGGTACATATATGCATGTACATATACATGTACATGCCTACACATAGGCCTCATCTGCATGTCTTTGATGGTCACAAGAAAACAAATATTATTAGTGAAGTTTGAATAGCAGCTGTGCCTTTCTAATGAGAGGAGCTCCATTTTACACCTGGACAGTTGCTTGCTGTTTAGAGCAAGTATATATGAAGTAAAGACTAAGCATCTGCCAAACTGTAATCCTACACTGATGAACATTTAGCATCTTAACACTGTTGCAGGAACATGGAATGGTGTAATTGCTGCTTCAGAATGAGACACAAGGCCAGTCTTGTGCTGTAGCAGAACTCTGTAGCCTGTTCAGAGTGATTACTAGAAAGTCTTGAGAAGCAATTAGCACAGATTTGAAATTAATTTTTTCCAACTATTGATAATATCAAATTGTTAAAAATTGTATTAGCCCTGAAACATGAGGCTTACTAACACTTTCAAAGTATTTATTTTGGCACCCTTCATAACTCGTGTTAAAACCTTGTTTTGAATTCCCACTAAGTTCCTGACCTCTCTAATTACATAGTATAGAGTTCCACAACATAATTACTCATTTCACAGAAATATTTTTGTTATCACTGTTTAAATTTTTATTACATTAGATTTCTCTTCTGAGAGAAAACCTAGGTTGGATATGATAATTTGGTTTTCCTCCTGAAAAGAAAATTTTACTTTGCAAAATTTTGTTCCCATGTTCTTGAAATCTGATTGAAGTCTTGAAATCAGCTCATGTTGTTCTGTCCTTGGCTGTTTCTGAGATGGACACTTGGAATTTTAAAGTATAATGACAGAATGTTAGAATGTGGTGAATTTTATTATATGCATCCAAATGGATTTAAGGGAGAATTTACTGATCAAGAGATGAACAGATTGAGTTAAAACAGCGAGATCTGTGATCCTCAACCTCTAAGAAATAAATAAAAATTCAGGGGTTGGGGAGGGAATGGATAAACATTCTGCATTTTAAAATGCCTTGCCAATTCTTTTAGGAGATATTAATGACTAAAAGTCTATTGTATGTGGATGTATTTGTATAAGGCTAGTTATTAAAAGAAAAAAAAAACCTATTATATTTCAGCACGGTAATTTTTTTGGGGGGGGGAAATTTAGTGATTTTAAAATTCAGAAAACTAGAAAGCTCTGACTGTAATACAAATGGCCAAGAAAGAAAAGGCAAGAAGCTGCTAATATTCTTATTTGTCTGATGGCCAGTTGCCAGTAAATTGGCTTTGATTATGCAGACCATCATTGTAAGATTTAGAAATTGTTTGAAGCATTGTAACTATGGAAGAGTCATGACCTGCACAAACTATTTGCACTCTGTCACATTGCATTAATGTTACTTTCTGCTAACAATAGGAACTGAATGGCCCCTCACCCTACAAGTTTGGAGTGCCTTAAAAACAACAAAAGTATTTTGGTGATGGATACAGAAATACCCATAAAGAATATGGATACAGAAAGATGGGTGAAGTGATTTCATGGTGTTAGGACCCCTGTGAAGTAGATTTCATAGGGTAGATGTCATGGTGCATGTCTTGACAACAATGCTGGTACAAGCTGTAGGTGTATGAGCCTACTGATACTGTAATAGTTATAACTTAAATGCTGCCATTCTTGATACCCTTAAAATCTAGTCAGAACAATTTTTCCTGACTATGTTGACATACTTTCCATTGGGAAAAACTCCAAGAAAACATCTGGTGGCTTTGTTCTTGACTGACTAACAAAGATTTTGGTACATGTTTAATGTGAACACTCATATTGAAACTGGGTTTTGCAGGAAATATCAAACCAGATATCATTTCCTTTCATATTAGTAGAGACACTCGTCATCTCTTTGAGTGCATAATTTAGAGTATAAATTCATATTTTTATTCAATAAAAGATTGCTTTGTCTGTTAACTGCTGTGTTACTCAGCGTTAAATAGATCACTAAACCCAGTTTCAGACAACAGTAAAATAATCACAGTATGATGACATCATGTTAGTTTTAAATATCTGCTTTGTAGTATTGTGCAACCTACTGCCATCTGCACATACTGTCATGCATTTTGGATTGTTTCCTGATGCAATGCTCTTACCTATGCCTCTGAGGACCTGCACAGAACAATCTGTTTATTTCCCTTCTGGACTTCTTAATACTAGACAGTTCTTAGACCAAAACAAAACAAATTCATGCTGAGTTTTGGGGTTTTTTTTTTTCTAAAGGAGCTTCTCCTTTTTTCCATGTCTTTCTGCTGGTCACCTTCCAAGTTTCTTTTCTCACCTGCAATCTTCCAAATTCCTCATCTTGCCTGCAGATCTTCTACACTCTTAATTCTTCGTTTGCATACTTACATTTCACTTTTGTCGCTTTTTCCCTTTCCTTTCAAATACTTCTCTTCCGCCCATTCTTTGTAAGGCCTCATTCTGCATC